CTGGCCAGGGCATGCTGAGAATGGTAGGGAGAATAGAACTGTCTCCTAATATCCTCTGACCACCAATTATCCTGGCTAAGATCTACTGACACTGCACTCCTATTTCCACAGAAATGGCTTTTGCAGCAGTAATTTCCACCAATGTCTCCCCATCTTCCATTAGATACTAGTGCTTCTATATTATTCAGGGTTAGGGTTTGGGTTCAGGTTTGGGTTCAACATGACACATGTAAATCCTCTCCCCTCAGTGAGGCATGTCTCTTACAGAAATGCAATCTGAATTGTCCATATTATTGTTATCCATTATTGCATGCTCTCCTTGTTTTAACTATAAGAATAAAAGCAGATGTACAATGCTGAATAACCTTGTTGACATGATATTTTTATTTTCACTTGTTTCTGTATTGCTAAAAATTATCACTGCTTGGCACTTCCACACCCTACCCTAGGAAATGCTGCAGTCCAAATTGTTGTCCACAAAGCTACCATTACATGCTAAAGGGAAACATACACTATGCTGGTATCTTTTCTCCCCATTTTCTTCTCCTCTTCAGTGAACAATAGCAAATGCAGAACAATACATTTGGATTTAGTGCACATGTGTGCAGGGAGGCAGAGATGGTCATCCTGTGCCTGAGCCACCCATACAGGGTCTGATGCATTCTAGACCAACAATATCACATGCTGTTAGGCCATAGGGTTGGATGGTAATAGGAAATTTACTGCTCTAAAGGAAACTTAGATGGCTGTAATCCCATATATACTCCATACTAAGATAGGTGTACTATAAAACAAAGTGGAGGTGCCATGACCTGGGCTCTGTGCTTCTAACTCTAGCTTTTTTACACAAAAAATATGGTTGACAGTGTGGTCAATGTGTTTGTGTTTGAGGAAATAAGAGTGGCTGAAAAATACTCTTCTTTCAGCAGTTGCACACAAACAGATGAATGACTAATGGCTGGTTTCCTGGAAGAGTAGTTTTTGGGCTGCCTCTGCAAAGGGTTTCCTCACTGTGTATTTCACACAATAGTAAGTGGCCGTGTCTTCTGGCTTCAGACCTGTTAGCTGCAGAAACACCTGGTTTTTTGAGGTGTCCCTTGTGATGGTGACCCGATTCTTGAGTGCACTGCTATAATAAGCAGCTCCATTATTCCATATACCTCCAATCCACTCCAATCCCTTCCCTGAGGGTTGATGAATCCACTGTACTCCATAATTTGTGAGAGAAAATCCAGACCCTGTACAAGTCAGTTGGAGAAGCTCTCCAGGTCTCTTCACACCACCTCCTGACACTGTCATAGTAATCTCAGACAAAACATCTGCATTCATAGAAAAGGGACAGAAGAAATATAGAAAGAAAAATGAAGAAGGAAAAAAGCATGAAAAACCACACAGAAAATCAATGCAATGTCAACGTAAGGAGGAAATATGATTGTTTTCTTCTCTTACATGCAGGAAAGAGCATTAGAAAACTTATCATGAGTCTTATTTCCATGACTAATTCCCAGGGTTTGAAATTGAGCCAATTGCTATCAAGGTCTTAAAATGTTCTGACCTCAGCCTGCAGCTTCCTTTTAAAGAAGACCATGTCAGAAACATTTGCATGCATAGGGCTATATATATATTCTCCCATTCAAACTCAGGCCAGCCCCAGACCTGCTTAGCTTTAATATGTTGGATGCCTTATGTGTCTTCAGACCAAACTCTGGATCTATAGATCAAGGTATACCTGGGATATGGAAAAGCGATGACATGCACTCTGCTACTGCTGTCATTAGCCTCCCTCAGTCTACTATCTTGATAAGATAGGAGAAGTTTTGGAGGATGGAAAAGATGAGATTGAGACAGTGCAAATTTCTTTAGCTTGGGAAAAATAAATTTTGTGACTGGAATAGTATTATCGTATAAATAACATATATGCTAATATGGAGAGCTGAAAATGCAGACATGAACAGGCTTAAAAACAGTGATATTTCCAGCTGTGGCACAGAAAAGCATGCAACACTGGACCTGGTTTTCTGGTAGGATGGTTTTTGTGCAGTCTCAGAAAAGGATTTTCTTAAAACAGCAAAACTAGTAAACATAAAACTTATGCAAATCCTGTGGCCAAGATTTGTAATGCATGACTATGTTTTCAGACTCCAGGGAATTCTGTTGGATGAACATCTGTTTTCTTGAAGTATTTTTTCTAATGATGATCTAAATTTAAAAGAAATATGAAAGGAATTCTACAGGAAATTAGTGGATTCTTGGGGCAAAATTGCATCTGTTTTTCTGTCAAGAAAAATAGGATAACAATCGTTAGAAAAGCAATTCTCATAAATTTGATGCTCATGGAAAGAGAACTGAATTCTGTTGAGAACTTTGAACCCTCCTGTTGGGGACTTTCAGCAGAAGTAATGACTGAGAAAGGAAGTTGTGGGGATTCATGAGTAATGAAGGAGAGTAATGATAATTATCTATGTGGCATTCAAGTCAATACAAATTCAAGTTAGTGCCAATCAGAGACAATATGTTTATTAAAAATGGCATATCCAAAGAGTCCAAAATTCCAGGCTTCAATAACCTGTAACTCCAACCTACTCAGTTTCTCTGGCCTTTGCAAATGTAGCAGTCTTGTAATCTTAATATCAACAAAGTTGTATGTGAGTTAGAAGTATTATTAATGTTAAGTTAAACTATATGATTTCCTTCAACAAGATGGCCACCAATTTGGATGACTAAAGTCAGGGATTTAGTCATCCAAAAATTCAGGGATTGGAAAAATTCATAAGGTGAAGTCTACCATTGCTCCTCATTCAGATGGCCTTGTGTCAGAATTGATGGGCCCTTGGTTTGATCCATCATGGCTGTTCTTATGTTCCTCCATCATTTACTTAGACTTTGCTCTTTGTCATTTTTGCATTTTTCCCTAATAATATGTCCAATTTCAGTCCACAGTTCATCCAGTACATGGTCAATTGAGTTTAGTAATACAAATCTGTTTTTACAGGCACTTTAACTTTCTCGGAAATGTTATATCAATTAAATCTTAGCCCTATTCTTAGGTTACTGATCTGTTTCAGCTTTACTTTTTATATTAATAGTTCATCTCCACTATGACAGTTTGTCCCTACTCAACAGACAGAATACAGATTCTCCATCTCTTACTTCCAAATGTGTACTGTATTTAATTTAGAATTGATCATTTGGTGATGCCCATATGTACATTTGTCTGTTTATGCATTTGTCTGAAGTATGCATTTGTGATAAACAGATATTTAATTGAATTCTATGAATCATGCTTCTACTTTGTTTCTGACCCCTGGGCCAAATTCTCCCACAATATTTTGATGTGTTTTGCTTCCTGCCTTTGAGTTCCATTTGGTTATGTTGATCAGCACATCTTGAATGATTAATTTCCTCCTGTTTGCTTGTATAAAGAGGTTTTTAAAACATTCTTCTTTTTTCTGATTTATATCCTGCCTTTTTCCTACAAAGGGCTCAAGGCAGCTTACATCATTCTCCTCCTGCATCTTATCCCCACAACAACAACCCTGTGAGGTAGGTTGGGCTGAGAGTCTGTGACTGGCCCAAAGTCACCCAGTTGTCTCCATGGCTGAGCGGGGACTCGAACCTGGATCACCTGAGTCCCAGTCCCATGCTCTTAACCACTATGCCACACTGGCTCTCAGTGTGGCTCTCTTCTTTACCATCTGTTTTTGGGGAGCAGACTATTGTGCCAAATATATTTATCTATTTTCCAAAAACCATGATTGATAATATGTGGCCAGACCTTGGATTATAGTATCTTACTGCCTGTGCTACATAAAATAAGTAAACTGACCATGTGAATGAGCATTGAAGAGTGAAATAAGGGGGTGGGGGGTTGATTCCAAAATGATAGATTTTCCCAGTTAACCCATGGAGTCAGGTTGATGTCAGATACAAATGGAAGGTGAGTAAAATTGCTTTGAGGAAGCAGAAGAGGACTAACAGTTCATATAATCCAGATTGATGGAATTGGTCTGGATGGCAGAGGAATACAAAAAGAAGATGGAAAGGACTGTTATGCCAGGAGTCATTAGTA